AAAAGAGGTTTAGAGGTCAAAGGCTAGGCAATGTGGGACTAAATGTAGATGAAAAGTAAAGAAATAGAGAAGAAAAGAGGCGGCTCGCATGGGCCTAAAGGCCTTCGGCCGGCCGCGCGCACGCTGCGGCTGCAATTTTTTTTATTTTTATTTTTTAAACAAAATTCGGCCTAAGAAAAAAATAAAAAAAATGAAAAGGCTGGTTGGGCCTGGCCCATGTAAGAGAGAAGAAAAACTAAAATGATGGGACGCCCGATGCCACTATGCAGCGCACGTGGGCGACAAATAATTATGGCCGCACGTACAGTTTTTTTAAAATAGAAACAGAAAGGGAAACTGAATAACGAAAATAAAATAAAAATTTTATATAGACATATTATATATTAAAATTTTCAGAAAAGAATTTTCTATAACATGGACATTTTCTTCAAGTCATATAGGACTATGATATTTGGCACATGTGTGCCATATAAGCAAAACTGTCACACCTCTACTTCTTTCACTTTAAAGTACCACATGATCCCTCTTCCTTCGACCCCACTTTCTCTCGAATGACCCTGCAGGCTCGCCCGAGAAACCCGCTTCTCTCGCAAATCTCGCGCGCCCACCCCTGAGAAAATTGCCACTTCTTCACGTCTACCACATGATAAAAAAATATTACGCATGTGGGATTCAAGCCCACACCTCCTTGGCACCAAAGCGTGCCACCACAACAACCTCACCCTTGGGTATTTGTTGCTCAAACTAAAGAAACTAATCGTTTTGATCTCCCTTTTTACAATTGTGTTACTAAAAAAAGTACAGAAAATTACCACGATTTTTCCCTCAGGACAAAGTTACCATGGTATTCGCATGCAAGTTATCAGGCATGTGTTTGCGTAAGTTACCGTGCTATTTACATAGAACTTACCAGGTAATATGTTTCAACAACTACACCCCTTTCAAAGTTAGCACTATGTTATAAGGTCTTCGATGTGTAAAACACCGTGGTACTTACACATAAGTTATCAGGATATGTGTACATCAACCTCGTCCCTGGTCAAAGTTACCATGGGGAATTGTACATGAGTTACCGGGTCTATAATTTGTATATTATCATGGTACTTACACCTAAAAATCTGGGTGTGTTTCGGTAACTTTTTCCATAGGTCAAAAATTACCACGATGTTTTTGCGTAACTTATCACGCCTATAGCGGGTCAAAGTGGGCCGTTTTTTGGCCAACCCATGGGCACGTGTGCCTCCTCATGACACTAAACATTATGTGATTTTTCAGTGGCACATCATGTGTTGTGTTCATCTAAGTGGCCCCACGAGGCGAGTGTATATTTTTAACAACTTGTTTTTCTTTGGTAAAAAGTTACCATCATGTTTATATTGTAAGTTATCATTTATGCGGTGCTTATATTATCATGTTATTCACACAAAAATTATCGGGGATATTTTGAACAACTTTTCCCCGGGACAAAAGGTTATCATGGTGATTCTAGGTAACCTGTCAAGCCCGCAGTGCTTAAAATATCATGCTATTTAGACAAAATTGATCAGGGGTATGTTTAAGCAAAATCCCCCCCCCCCATGGGTCAAAAACTTATCATGGTATTTAGTTATCACAGTGCATATGTTTTCATGCTATTTATACATAAAAATACCAGAGGAGAGAGGTATAGTACCGTGCTATTTACACAGAATATACTGGAGTATCTTAAAAAAAAACTTCCCTATGGTCAAAGTTACCATGGTGTTTCTACCACAATTATCAGATGTGTGCTACGTATATTACCATCTATTTACACATAAATTATCTGGTATCTTTTCACATTTTTCTTCTCCAATGGTTAAAGTTACCACGATGTTTGTATCTAAATTATCAGGTCTATGGCGTGAATTTTATCGTGCTATTTACAGAAATTACCGGGGCTGGGGTTCAACAAATTTCTTCCCAATGATCAAAGTTACCACGATGCTTTCACCAAAGTTATCACGCCTTCAATGCTTATGACCATGCTACTTACACATAATGTACTGCGTGGTATACAAAAGTTATCATGTTGGTGGTGCATCATTTTATCGTGGTGGTGATGAAGAATTTACCGTGGGTAAAGTTTATGTGCCAGGTTTGATAGGTGAAACAAAAGCTTTTCAGTGTTAAAATATTGAAGGCAAAACATGTCAAAAACAATATTTTCCTTAGCTTGTTCAACAATGAGTGTCATATGGGAGATGGTTAGCTCCTTTCGTTGATTACCTGCAGACCAGAGATCAAATCCCAATTCAAGCATTATTTTTGCCCAAAAATTTGGAAGGCGCGTGGGGCCGTAACTGGTGATTGAAAGGAAGGAAATCAGGAGGGCGGGAAAGGAAGGAGATCAGGAGGAAAAGAAGGAGATCTGGAGGACGTTCGGGTAAGGAAGGAGATCGCGAGGCGTGCGGGAAAGGAAGGAGATCACATGGACGTGCGGGAAAGGAAGGAGATCGGGAGGGCGATGCGTGTGGCAGTTTTGCAATTTGCCACGGTTGCCACTTACATATTTCGTTTTTTAAATACCAAAATAAATTCAAATTTATTTCTCTCCAATTTTGTGATATAGGGAATCATGTTACCCTATTTTCCATATATTTTATTTTTGGAGAAAAATAATTTGAATAAAACTCGAATAACTCCAAATTGAAAATAATTTCAAAAGGACTTTGAATTTAATTCTTTTAAAACTTCCAACTCATATTTCATATATTTTGAAGCAGTCATATTATCTTCTCTCGTGAAAATCATCGAGTTGCATGAATTTTTATGAATTGGAAATATTTCCGAATGAAATTCAAATCTTTTCGAAACCCTTTTCATTTAAATAAATGGAAGAAGTCATGTCATCTTCTCTCCAGGGTTTTGTGGTGAAAAGAATTTGAATTCACAGAGATCATAAATGCAAAAATGAAAGTTTGGGAAAGTCCTTTTATTCCCTCTCATTTAACTTTCAAAAAGTTCGAATTCACTCACATTTAGTCAATCAATCAAACAATCAATCAAATCTATCTGTTTATTATAACATTCCAAAATTTAGAATTTTGGGATGTTACATTTTTGAAAAGAACATTTAATAAATATTTGAAGGAAAAAAATAATTTAAGATCATAATTTAAAGAAGATACTTAAAACTACTATTTGGTATTCCAAACAATATTTCAAAAAAAAAAAGCAAGTTTCAAAAAGAAGAAAAAATGAATTAACAAAAAAGAGAAGAAAAACGAGAAAATAGAAAAGGAAAATAGGCTTAGGCCTTGGCCCAACTAGGCGATGACATCGCTCCTGCAGGACAACTGTTGGACCGACCCAAGCGCTCACGGATTTGAAAAAGTTGTTCCATTAAAAAAGTCACCGTTTTCAAAATTGTATAAGAAATTCAAAAATGTTCCCTTTTTACAAAATTTGTCACAAATTCAAAAAAATTGGGGAGTTTCAAATAATATTCTTCAAAAATTGTTTGTATTTTTTAAAATCATGTTTAAAAAATATTCTACACAAATACAAAAAATATTCGGGAAAAATAAAAAAAGATGGTTTCAAATTTTTGTTTGTATTTTTCTCAATTGTTTTGAAATTCCAAATTCCTGTGGCTAGCGACGAGTGGTCAATAGCGGGAGTTACGTGGTTTGATCCCTAGGTTTGTCGCAAGCCCCCCGATGCGAGAAATGGGACGCCCCACTCCACCACAATGTGCACCCGGTTTTGGGAATTATTTTTTCTTTATTTACAGTTTTTTGGTTTGTGTTTTTTTTCATATTTTTGTTTCTTTTTTCTTCCTCAAGTTTATTTTTGTTTTCGAAAAAATGATAACTTTTTTTAAAAAATCATCACTTGTGGCATCATCAAACTTATCCTCAAGCCAGCAAATATGCTTAATGACAATCGATTTTGAAACACAACATTTTTCTCTCCTATTGCAATGCACGGCATATGTGCTAATTATAATAATGTATAATGTACATTAAAATCGGATAATCTAGGAAATAGAAAAGTTAACCAAACTATGAGCTTCCTTATTTGTCTCTGGTTCATGTGGATAACCTAGCCATAAGTGGTGACTCTGGTTTAAGGAGATAGAAAACTTAACCAAACTATGAGCTTCCTTATTTGTCTGCCTTCCTTCAAAGATGATCACATGCTTCAAAGAGTTGCCGAGTGGCCATGATCTCTCATATGAATTGGTTGTTTCTTCCACAGAGCCATTCTTTACGTCCTCCACCACGCTCTTGCTAACATAACATGAGATGACAATCATATTCAAGTGCAAAACTTGTGCATTTGCTAGAGCTTCTTGGCAGGCTAGCGCCTCTAAACAGACTACCGAGAAGATCTAGCACTGACTCAAGCTTGGGGAGAAGAAGGCCATGCTCAAAGAGAAGAAGATGAAGATCGCAGTGGATGCGGAAGACGCCAAGATCTTAACCTTGAATTTGGAGGCTTTGGATGCCGATGCAGGAATGATCGTGCAAGCCGTCCATTACAAGATGTTGCAGTGGAAGAAAAATGAGTTGGAGGCGGCGGACAAGGATGAGAACTACCGGATTAATATTCTTTTGTGATCAGGTATGTAAAAGCTAAGCATAGTTGCCTCTTTTTGGTTGTGATTGGACATGTGATCCGGTGCTGCTGTGATCCAGCACGCGCTATGGAGCAGACTTTATTTGAATTTTAAATTGCACTTTACCGACGAACATGTACATTGATAGCTTTAGATGGCCGGCGCCTGCATTATTATGTCTATGAACGGATGTGGGAGAGAAAATTTACATGTCAACGTTGAAGATGCCCTAACACCTAGCTCCAAACGTGATGTTTTATTTTTCAGTTTACTTCGATCAAACAGATCACCCTGCGCTTCTCGAATCAAGTAGCAACGCAACGCCGTCGGGCGCCCGTGCCATACGGTTGTCGCTTGTAAATCACGGTAATTAAGCTCATTTGAGGTTGCGTACGACTGTTCGCCGGCGCGCAGGCTTCTACGGCTGGCGGAAGTGGCGGAAGTGGCCGTGGTGGTCGCCGTCGACGACGTGGTGACCGTCGTGGTGGTGGTCGTCGTGGAGGTGGCCACGGCGGTCGGGCTGGATCCAGCGGCCGTCGGGGGCGCGGACCATGCCCTTGTTCTCGTCCTGGCGCCAGTAGGGTGGCACGCAGTGGTGGTCCTTGAGGAAGTCGGACGCCTTGTTCACCAGCGCCGGGTCGCGCCCGCTCGCCAGCACGAACCGCTCCCCGCTGCCATGGTACCTACAGCAAACCATTCATCGGTCGAATCATATAGTACTAGAAAATTTACATGGCAGTTGATGATTATGTATTTTTCATTAACAACGAAGCAGTACACGAGCGAATCGATCTTATATTGTGATGTTGTATTGTACTGGCGAGTAGTTACACCAACTGCGTCTGACAGTAGTATGATGCTTTTTCACCTCTCGCTTGGCTGTCTTGTCCATGACAGCATGTGGTCCATGAGCATTTCAGGGGGTGTTTGGTTCAGGAACTTTTTAGTCTCAAAGACTAAAAAAGTTTCTAAAAAGTCTCTAAGAACTAAACGGGAGAGACTTTTTCTACAGGGACTAGGAAAAGTTTTTATTGAAGAGTTTTTTTTTATTAGTCTCTGGGACTAGAAAAAGTCCTAAGACTTCTGAAACAAACGCCCTCTCAATAGACCTGATCACTGAATAGGCGTTTCTTTAATACAGCTATATGCATGACAGCATGAGGCCCATGAGTATTTTTCAATGGACCTGATGCATGGTTAAGTCTCGGCATTACGCACAGGTCCTATTGACAAACTCTAAGCATCTATCACACGACCTGGCACCCCTTTAGAAAATGCACATAGAATTTGTCGTGTCGTGCTAGCATGACAAGTTGGTCGTAGACTCGTGGTACGCCAGAGCTGATTAGTTTGGACGTACCGCCAGCTTATACTAATGAAATATACTATACTACTGCAAACACCAGTACGGCGAAACGGGCAAACACCGTGACGTCCGTAACACCTCACGTCAGCCAGGGCATCACGGTGATCAGACGGCGGAGCGCACATCTGCTGCATGCATGACGTTATCAGACGGTGCGGGCTGTCAAAATACGACGTACGCGCCAACGTTCCAGCCACATATTTTCCCACTAGGAAATGTTAGTGTTAGTTGAAACATGTAGGCCAAATTATTGGTGCAAGTCAGTGGTGTATGTCCTTGGCGTCTCCGTGGAGATCAATCAGCCAACTAATCAAGATCATATGATTGTGAATTTGTGATCGCCCATGTACAGCACGGCGTGTGGATGATCTATTTTGATCTGCGTCTGTCCCGCACAGGTGGCTGGAATAATATCGTCTGTCCCGATCCTAACAAGGACCTTAACAAAAAGGAAATGTGCACATGTGTAATGTTATTTTGGTGGGAGATGGCCTCTTGGTATTTGTTCAACCGAGTTGGTTGGCAGCCTACTAGTAGGATTTGTAATGCTTATTTTCTTGCGATCTTTTTTATTTGGAGTAGTAACATAGTGCATTTAAAGAAAATTTTATTTATGTGTATGTAATTAATGAGAGGATAGGTGTTTTGAATAACATAATATGTTGCTGTAACATAATGCTTTTCGAAAAAAGATGAGTCTACAAACTAAAAAACAAAACCTTTTATGACACTACTACTATATTACTTTGCACCGTGAAGATAGTAAATTAGATTACTCCTCATTATGACCAGCCTGAGGCCCATGGCAGTCAACAACAGCCCCGCAAGAGTATTCCGATGGACCTGACATTATTTAGTCCCGGCATTACGCACCGGTCCTCTTGATAAACTCCACGCATCTATCACACGACCCGACACCCCTTTAGAAAATGCAGATAGATCTTGTCATATTGTGTTTAGATTAGTTGTTGTACGTAGAAAGGCGTTGATGTGTTTGGACGTACCGCAGGTACTGTAGTGGAGTATACAATACGTATTGGTTGGTGTTAGGAAATGTCAGTATTCGTGTGAACATGCTAACCAAACTATTGGTGCAAGTCAAGTAGTACTCCTATATGGCCTTGGCGTCTCGGTAGAGATCAATCAGCCAACTAATAAAGATCTCCTCAAGATCACTCCTACTCTCCTATGATTGCTGCTCCTCCATGTACGGCTCGGCTCGGCATGGATGACCTCTGCATCTGTCCCACACAGTGACACGGATGGCAGGAATTATATCGTGGCACACGTCTGTCCCGTTCCAAAAAATAATGACCTTAACCAAAAAAAAAAGAACGTGATGATGTGTCTAATGCAAGTTTGTACACTTCTTAGTTTGACCCATCAAACTGGGGCCAAGTGATCCGTCCTTCTGTTTCATGAAGCCCCCTCATTATCAACACCAAGTAATGCTATAGGTACGGCCTATTCATCAGGTAGTGCTTGAAAAGAAATCAACGTCAATCCTTTGAAGCGTCAAATCACCATCAACGGCCATGATCCCACATGCATTATTCTCCTTCTTTTTCTTCCTCCTATGTACTTTAGTCATCTATAAGAGCAACTTCAACAGGCCGACCCAAACGGACATCGATTTTGTCCGCTTTTTGTTCGTTTGGGTCACCCGTCCGCGCGTCCGCGTCCACCTTTTCAATTGGGTCGGCCAGTGCGCCCAACGGCAGACGGACGCATTTTGTGCATGTCCGTCCTGGCATTTTGTCAAACACATAGCAGCCAGCGACACCGGTGCATGTTAGGACGAGTTGCGAGGAGACGCACGAGCGGGACGGCACGGCAGGGGTGCGAGACTAGGCGGGGCGAGCGCGGCTCAGCGAGCACAAGCATGGCGGCTCGGCGCGGTGTCTATGGCGGCTCGGCAGGGCGAGGGCGACACGCATGGCGGGTGGACGCAGCGACCATGGCGCGGCCGGGCGTGCGAGCTCCACCGCTCCAACACGCGAGCGGCGAGGCGGCCGGGCGCGTGAGCTATCCAGCTACCACGCGGCCACCGGCCGGCTAGCACGCGCGCACCTAGCTAGCTAGCATGCGACGGGCAACTAGCTAGGAAGCACGCACACGCGCAGCTAGCTAGCTAGCAAGGGCGCGGCCACGACGAGCGTCGTGAGAGCGGCGCGCGGCATGGCACAGCAAGGGCGAGCGACGCGGCGCAGCGAGAGCGAGCGACACGATGAGGGCGAGCGGCACGGCGCGGCCAGGCCAAGCGATGCGATGAGGGCGAGCGGCGAGCGATGCGGCGCGGCCAGCGGCGGCGAGCGGGGCGGAGCAGGGATGGTCAAGCTCGGCTGCGAGTGGAATGGAGTGCACATCGAGCAGTGCACGTCAAGCATGGGATGGGCCAGCTAATAAAAATATATAGAGAGAGGGATGGGTGGGTGACAAGCGGGCCAGACCCGGATGCAGACGGACGAGAGGGACAGAGAAAGCGCTCGCTTTGTGTCCGCCTGCGACCCAAATGTGACTCAAATTTGGGACGGAAATGGGTCCGCACGGACACAAAGCGGACACAATATAACGAAAATGTTAACGCCCACACGTGTGGGCGTCTGGCAACTCGCCCACACACATGGATCACCGTCTAGTAACTTTTGCACGAATCTTGGCATGAATTAGCTGATTTTGTATGCCACGTAGGACAACTCGCGTGTGTGATGTGTGAGAGAGGCCGTCCACACATCCGTTTTACCACACGGAGGGGCCGATGTGTGACGTTTAGCAGTTCGCACACATACACACCAGTTTTCAGTCACGCACAAGGGCTGGTGTATGGGCGTTTGCCATCTCGCCCACACGCCTGCCTCCTCTTCCACACCCAAGCCGCCAGTTGCCATGCGTTTTGCAGTGTATATGGCAACTGCCCTAGTGTGATTGCAAGCAGATGACAACTCTCTTTTTTTACCCGAACATATCAGTTGCCATATGTTTTGCATGGTACATGGCAAACTGCCCTAGCATGCACGTAAGCAAATGACAACTCTTTGTTTTTACGTGGCAACTGCCCTAGCGTGCTTGTGAGCACATGGCAACTCTCTCTCTTACCCGAACATGTTTTTTTGCCATGCCTTTTTTTGTAGTGCTACATGACAATTGCCTAGTGTTAGTAGGTGACACTTCCTAAAGTTTTGAAATCATGTCAACTGCAGTAGACTAGATCACACATGACAACAGCTGTAGTTGTCCAAAAAATGGCAATCTGGAACTTTGACCTGAGATGGCAAATGTAGTTGAGCAAACATGGCAAGTGTAGTTGTCCGACATGGCAACCGCAGTTCAGCGACATGACAACTGCACTTAAACGAACATGGACGAGGGTCCGGCCCATGGCAACTGCGGGCGCGGGGTAAAGTGTCATGTTGGGCGTGCGGGACCACGAGGTACGAGGCCTTACGTACCGGACGTGTGGGCGTTATCTATTCCGCCCACACGCACGCGTGTAAAAAGGACCGGGAGGGAAAAAAAGGCGTGTGGGCGCTAGTTGTTTTGCCCACACACAGGCGTGTGGGCTGTTCCTTTTATACACCACACAAAATGTGTGGGCAGCCTCCCTAACGCCCACACGTGTGGTACTTATCGGCGTCTAAATATAAATGGGTCGCTGCGTTGGGCCACCTTTTTTTCCACCGCTATCCAAACGGACGCAGCCGGACGAAATGGGTCGCCCTTTGGAGTTGCTCTAAACGCTCTTATTTTTCTTTTATAAAGGGAGTAGTATGTACAATCTTTTCTTCCCGCGTTGCCAACCAACGCCCCTAGGACCGCAATACCCCGCATGCTCCCGCTACTGCGGGCTGCGGCCGGCGGTGTTGTCGTCCCTCCCACCCCTTGCTACCGCTCGCATCGTCCTAGTCTTCGGCGAGGTCCTGGCTTTTTTTGAGCCGGAGGCACATGATGTTTTGTATAGTACAAAACGAACCTGCATTTTAGGCTCCCATGCATGCCATATAAACGAGGGTACAGCTACAACCACCCCGGGTTAAAAGCGGGTCATCAGAGACGTCTTCACACCGGCATATTGGACTCGGGGATAGGACAGCGAGAGTGCGTGGCAAGAAACTGACACTGGCTGTGCGTTCGCACCTTGTAATAACCATTTTAAATACACTTACTCAGTGGCCACGTACGTGATTGCTCGAGTTTGTTTAACCCCAGGCGTGCCCTACGTTAGACCACGTCATCCCTTTTATTCCACACAAGTCGTCATGGGTAGGTGCGGAGGTGACAGAGACCGAGCGAGAGGTGATTCATTTTGGCAAATGAGACGGCGGGGAAGAAATGTATACGGTACGGAGGTGATGGATGCGGACGTGCAACTTACCCGTCGAGGAGGTGCAGGTGCGCCTCCAGGTTGTGGGAGCAGCCGGGGTCGAGCGTGTCCTTGAGAAACGGCGAGCGCTTGTGGTCGAGGACGAGCTCCACGCCGACGTGGCTGTAGCACCAGGGCATCCGCAGCCCCTCCGCCACCCGCCACACCATCTCCGGCACCCCCTCGTTCAGGAAGATCCCCTCCATCCGTGGCACGTTGTCGTGCACGTTTGTCACCCACAGCGCCTTCACCCCGAGCTCCCCCTCGAACCGCTCCCTGAACCGCCCGTTCCCCACCCACGGCCCCGAGAAGGAGTACACTCACACCCCCGCCCTCTGCACACCTGTCGAGGATGTACCCCGCGGTATGACCAGTCCGAAAGTATAACCCGGCCGGACTTGGCGCTTCACCGATGACCCGCCGGAGGACTGGCGACTCACGGGTCTGGCGGCTCACTAGTCAGACGACTCACAGATGACCCCGACGGCGGGTCACATAAAAGACTAGGCTCAAGGCCCAGTAGGCCGGCTCATATTATGGTGGGCCGGCTTAAGACAGAAGGCATGAGGAATATTTCCTTTACAAGGAAGCAAGACCCGTACTTGTATCCGACTTGTAATAGAGAATAAGTTAGTTCTAATCCTAATAGGACTCTACATATAAGCCGTCCCTTCAATTTATATAAGGAGGGGCAGGGCTCCCCAAAGAGGGACAAGCAACAAGCAACAATATCTAGGGCTAGACACAAAGAGAAGAACCGGCTTACGGCGACTCCCTCATGATCATAATGAGACCTAGCCACAAACAGCACGTAGGGTTATTACCGGATAATGTTTCCCGGGGCCCGAAGCTGTCTAAATCATCGTCTTGTGTGTTGCGTCTCTCAATTCCGTTCAACCCCTTCAAGCTACCACATAGATGCGTTGGCCTCGCGACTAAGTCCTTACACTAGGACATCTGCCGTGACAATTCCACGACAGTTGGCGCCCATCGTGGGGCCTGCGCACGGTGGTGTTGAGTTTCTTGGAGGGATTTCTTCATGGGATCGAGAAGCACACGATAAGCCGGATGAAAAAGAGCCGGCACAGAAGATAACATCATCAACGATCAGTCAAAGCGAGATATACAAGATTTCAGATCAAGAAAATTAGGGTTGCGTAGTGCGTGCTGCCGCGGCTGGACGATCCATCAAAACCAGATCAATTTTCACTGGGTCGCCGTTAGAAGCCAAGACGGACAGAAGTTTCACACTGGAAGGTCGTTACAAATCATATCCTCATTGATTGTTTTTGGAGCTACGCATAAAGCGGATCGTATCCAGTGCATCTGACGTATACGGGTTCGCTTCAAATTCCGAGGTTTTCAAAGCAAACTTTTTGGGTACTAGATGCAAGTACCAGTACTCAGGTCCTCAAAAGAAAATTACCATAAGAGAAAAGAAACCACGATCTGAAAGATACCATGTGGAAGTCAAACCAAAGAACAACCCGGACGAGGACTGAGACTACGCTGTTGTCACCTCGTTCCGAGCCGCCCTGCACGGACTGCATCATCAAGCCGGCCACGCCTCGTCTTCTCTCCCACCGTCGAACTGTTCTCGCCGGGACTGGCCGCCCGGCTGCTCCTCCTTCTGCTGCGCCTCTCACCCGTGAGCCGCCGGGCTGCCGAGCTGCCCCGGCCTTTCCGCTCCTCGCCGGGCGCACATCCGCTGCCGCAATCAACGGGCTCGCCTCTACCTAGACGACCTTGGACTCGGTGGCCATGCCAAGCCGGCCGCACGCCTCTGCCTCCATTACAAATTCGGCAGTATGTACATACGCAAGGACAGGTTGAGCAGAGAAGTTTTTCACCGGGATTTTGCTCCATTGACCGTTTTTGCCACACTCGCTCCCGTTAAACAAACGGTCGGCCTCGCCCTCCCAAAGTCACTCAATACCGAGGCCACTATAGCGGTGTTGCCTTGCCAAAACTGCTTTGAGCCGCCGTTGCCAACTCGGGCAGAGTGGTTTCGCCATCGCCATGAGCCGCCGGCGCCTCGACGCCCAAGTCACCGCGGCCCTCCACTATTGCACCTTGCCTCCGCATCCGCGCGCTTCGGCCGCCCTCCGTTCCACTGCGGCCGGGCTCCCGAGCCCCGCAAGTCGGTTCTGCTCGCCTCGCTGCCAGTGAGCCGGCGCCGGGCCGTCTTGGATGCGCCCCAAACCGCCAGCCGCGCCCCTGCCTTCCGAACTGCCGGAGACGGCTGCTCGCTGACCATTGCCGCAAAGCCGCCACCTTGCTGCCACGAGCCGCCCCAGTCTTTGTTGTGTCGCAGGTGTTCTTATGGAATCCCAGAAGAATGATTGAAGTGGAGATTGTGAACGGAGAAGCAAATAGAGACAAGCTGCATGTACAAGTGCAGAAGCTACATCCTGGAGCGCTGTGAGCATTCACGTGAAAAGGAAGTGCATGCATGCATAATTATTTTGAAGACCACGCTGCGAACTCAACCAGAGCACGAGTCCTGGCGATTTGTGTTGGCTGTCTAAAAAGTATTGTCGAGCACTACCACAACTCTGTGCAAGAATTCTATGTACAGATCATCAGTCTTTAAATACATCAGGTGAAATCTATCCAAATTTATTTTATTAGCACATAATATTTTCATTAAAGAACAATTACTTTGGTCGGTGATATTTTTTCGCAGGACCGTCATTCATTACAAAGGTGTCGCATAAGGGGCGGGCGCCAATGTCACTTGTGCACCAGTGCTTTTCCGCGCCGTGCGGCTTGATGGATACGTTCGCGAGTTGTCACCTCCGCTACATCAACACACGCGACTGACTCGTCGTCCCTGCCCGCGGCCGACTCACCCGTGTTCGTGTCGACTTACAATGCCGCGGCCGACTCTCCCGTCCGCACCGGTTTACAATGTCGCGGCCGACTCATCTATCTGCTCCTGCGGCTAACTCGGTCGTGCTTGATTTCAGCTTCACCATGGTGATCATCAACTCCGCAGTGGATGATTTCTGGTTTAACATATCAAGTAAAATCCATCCAGTATATTTTTATATTACATATTACTTTTATTTAAAAGAGCAATTACTCTAGCTTGCAAGTTCTCCAATGCAGGATAAGTTATATCACTGAGCTGTTGACTGACTCAATCCGGTTTATATCACGGTCAAATATGAAGAATCTCAAGACAACTCCTCGAGTCGCCTCGAGACTCGGGGGCTACGATGACATGACTCAGTAAATGATTGTCAATTTAAAGCAGATTCAAAAACTCAGGATCATTGGAGGGAAGAGAACTCCAGATCATTGGAGGGAAGATAACCCGGTCTCGGAGGCTACCGCCATATTGGTGAAAACTTAAAAGGCCGTCAGAAAATTTCCGGTTCAAAATAAAGATTCCGGTTTAAAATCCGGTTCAAGAGACATCTCTCTCCCGCAAAGCTTGGAAGCTCTCAAATCCGGTTCAAACATCCGGCTCAAGGTAAATTTGTCTCTTACAAAGCTTTTTCTCAAATCCGATTGAAACATCCGGCTCAAGGACAATCTGTCTCCCATAAAGTTTGGAAGCTTTCAAATCCAGTTTAAAGTTCCGGTTCAAAAAAAATTAATCTCTCGCAAGATTCGAGTTCTCAGAAAAATTAAAGGTTGCCAAAAGGAACTTGCTGCCATGATGCGCGGTTCAAACATGAATATCCTGCCTTACGGCTTACCTTATTATGATCACTTGGGGGCTTCCTGCTCATCGAGCATAGCTATCAATACCCTCTTGATCGGCGCAATGCCAAAATTTATATGGTCACTTGGGGGCTTCCTGTTCAAACATAGATCGTATTCGAACCAAAGAGAACATAACTGTCGATACCCTTTTGATTGGCAAACTGCCGAACCTATTTGGGGGCTTCTTGATCGTATCCGAATTATAGCTCAACCCCTTTGGAAATCCACGTGGATCGTATTCGAATCAGCGTCGTTAAACAACTCTCAAGGTCATTTGGGGGCTTCCTGTTCAAACATAGGTCGTATTCGAACCAAAGAGAACATAGCTGTCAATACCCTCTTGATCGGCATCGCCAAAGCCACTGGGGGCTATATGATCGTATTCGAATCTTAGCTTAACCCCTTTGGAACGGTTTACTGGTCGTATCCGAATCAGAAGCCTCAAAAAGTTTTATTCTGTCTCTGGTAAAGTTTATTGCAGCCATAATTACTTAACTTGAGACCTTTTTTGGGATTATATCTCAAATATATATAAGTGTTTTATGCTTAACTCGGCTTGACTTTTGACTATAAGTCGCCAACTTATGACAATCATCATCTATGTGGAAGCATTGGCTTCTAAGGATTGGGTTATCACCCTTACTGCACAGGTCATGTAAACCGACAGTACAAATTCAATATCACAGTGGTTATATGTGAGGTATTATGACCCGCCCTGCGACAAACCGCCAAGGGTTCTTGTGATCTACTTGTGTGCAGGGTAAGACTACATTTGGGTCGTTACCCGCCCTGACTCTTGACGTTAAGTCGCCAGGGCATATGTTGTTTAAACTCTGTGCAGGATTTGCAGAATTATGACTTATATAAATGCTTCAGTCCAAACTCATCATTGAAATTGGTGTCTCAAAAGGGTTATCAATTATTGATTTTCTCAAGGGCTATAGGCCACCGGGTTACAAAAATTCCGGCTTACAATGAATGCGCATTAAGTCGTCATCGGCCAAGAGCAGCCAGGTATTTAAACTTCGGATTTACTTGTCAACCGATGAGGTATTAAAATCTTTAAATAGCCAAAACTGGCTGGATTTTCATGATGACATTGAATGATTGAGGTTTTCATATCGGGTTATATTATTCAAATCTTGAATAGCCAACATGGCTGGATTTCTATTGTGATTATCAATAACCAGTGTTATGATTGAGGTTTTCAAAGTCTCTTTAGCGCAACGGCTATTATTTTTATCAATGGATATGATTTATTCTACAATGGAAGGAATAGTCCCGAGTCGTTGCAGGCTTACGATCCGGCACTTGGGGGCTACATTATTCAGATTGGGATTATATCAAATATGCAAGTCCCATGTCACTGCCAGTATGCACCATGGCACTTGGGGGCTAATGCAAAGTCATCTTTGCTCGATTTATTGAAGACCCGACTCATCACATTCTAAATGAGTTGGCCCTTGGGGGCTACCAATTGCTCCTGTCAAAATTTCAAGGTACACAAGCATTAATCCATTATATTGAACGGTCCACTATTCAGTTGGTGGAGTACAAAGCTCTTAACCTTGTGGACGTGGGTTCAAGCCCCATGGTGGAGACTATATTATATGATGTTATTATCAATTATATACAAAGTCCCAGCTCAGTATTATCTTATTAAGCCGGCCCTTGTGGGCTACACATTGTTGTTTAAATTTACATGGTTATATCTACAAAGCCCCTGCTCATTATTGCATAATGACCCGGCCCTTGGGGGCTGCACTGGTTGAAGTTTTCATGAGCATAAAGCAATTACAAGTCCCAGGTTGCTGCAAGCATGACAACCCGGCACTTGGGGGCTACATGTGTGAAATATTCAAGGTTGCAACATTTATTGGAGCAAGTCTTAAACCATCACTTTGTTCTGCTCAAGACTTGGGGGCTATAGGTAATATGGATATAAGGGAGAAAAATCTTCAAATTATTAGTGTTGAGCAAATCAGGACGATCAATTACATAAACCGGTGTCAACAACAATTATGACCCGACATCGTCTGTTCTATAATTCAGAAGTTTTTTGGTAATGATAAACCGGCAAGTTTTACATCTTCAAGCCGGCTGAATATCAGATAAATATTTGAAGACCAAAATTATTTGACCCGGTGCCTTGGAAGCCGACTCAAGTGGATTATTCTTCACAATATTTTTCTGTGAGAAACCAACATCAGCAGATTGAGTATGAAGCTAGCTTATTTGACCCAGATTTTCTAGATGAAGAAAATGACAATTGAACTTAAGGATAATCAGGTCCCGTCTCAGGAGAATATTTAATCCGGAGCACAAGGAATTAAGCATGATCAGGTGCCGGCGTACAAGAATTTTTAACCCGGAACACAATCTGTCAAATTTGTTCTTGTGTTTGTTTTACAGGATCAGTTTAACATGGATAAATCCAAATTAAATTGGGGGCTAATGTCCGGGATGTACCCCGCGGTATGACCAGGCCGGAAGTATGACCCGACCGGACTTGGCGCTTCACCGATGACCCGCCGGAGGTCTGACGGCTCACTGGTCAGACGACTCACAGATGACCCCGACGGCGGGTCACATAAAAGACTAGGCCCAAGGCCCAGTAGGCCGGCTCATATTATGATGGGCCGGCTTAAGACAGAAGGCATGAAGAATATTTCCTTTACAAGGAAGCAAGACCCGTACTTGTATCCGACTTGTAATAGAGAATAAGTTAGTTCTAATCCTAATAGGACTCTACATGTAAGCCGCCCCTTCAACTTATATAAGGAGGGGCAGGGCTCCCCAAAGAGGGACAAGCAACCAGAAACAATATCTAGGGCTAGACACAAAGAGGAGAACCGGCTTACGGCGACTCCCTCATGATCATAATGAGATCTAGCCACAAACAGCACGTAAGGTTATTACCGGATGATGTTTCCCGGGGCCCGAAGCTGTGTAAATCATCGTCTTGTGTGTTGCGTCTCTCGATTCCGTTCAACCCCTTCAAGCTACCATATAGATGCGTTGGCCTCGCGATTAAGTCCTTACACTAGGATATCTGCCGTGACAATTCCACGACAACACCCATCGTAATCATTCGTACGTGCGCATGCATAGAGATGGAGGCTGAACTGAATCACCGGGAGAACTTATCCGTCCGTACCTTGCCGTTGGAGAGGTTGGCGGCGGACTCGGCGATGTCGTAGGCGCCGAGGATGGCGAGGGAGCTGCCGAGGCTGTGGCCTGTGACGGAGATGCTCACGTCCTCGCCGAGGGCGGTGTGGTGGGCGACGAGCTTGCGGACCTCCACCAGGACCTGCTCGCGGGCGGAGTACTTGCAGAAGCGGCAGGAGGGGTCCTTGTCGGTGTAGAGGTCCACGAAGCCGGACTCCACCTTCACCTCGGGGTCCGGGCACGGGATGCCCTCGTCGGCCACGGGCCGGAGGTAGTCCATGAGGTCCGACACCCACTCGAGCCGCGTGATGGTGCCGCGCCACGCGATGGCGATGTCGCGCCGGCCCAGCCGCGCCGACTCCTCGTCGGTGGACACGGCCACGTAGCCGATCCAGTTCGCGCGCTGGCTCCACAGCTTGGCGTCGGCGCGGGACCTCCCGGAGAAGAAGTTGGGGAACCGGAAGTTGGACGTGGCGTACAGGTAGCGGGTCACGGAGTAGCCCCGCGCCGCGTCGGGCATGCCGAGCCGCTCGAAGAAGGCGCGCCGCGGGTACTTGCAGCTGCCGCAGTAGCGGGAGGCCAGGTCGTAGTCGAACGCGTCGTAGCAGGCCTGCGCGAGCTCGCCGTAGCGGATGAGCTCCGAGCGGAGCAGCGGGTCCATCGGGTCAAGAAGGCCCGCCCAGTCGTCGCTGCCGTGGATCTCCCGCCACCGTGCGGGCAGCTCGTCCTGGTGCTTCTGTGCTCTGCGGCGCCGCGCGGACGAGGCATCGTCGGGAAGGTACAGGTCGTCCTCCTCCTCGTCTTGGGTGAGGTTCTGCTCTAGCTGGCCGACGAGGGAGGCGAGCGCGTCGTCCCTGGTGGCCGCGGAGGCGAGCTGCAGTCTTTTGGTGGTGGTGAGTGGTGTGCGCGGGGCTGGAGCGGGCCGGAGGGAGATTTGTGTGTGGGTGGTGGTGGCGGCGGTGCCGCGGTGCGGGAGGGAGGAGAGCTGCGGGGAGACGTCGCGGCAGGAAAGTGGCGCCATTGGGGAAGGCGATGGCATGGTCGTATGGAATGGAGACACGCGGGCAGAACGCCTTTATGCCCCTCGGGAGAGGTATAGTACGTCTATCAGCCACCAAGCTCTGACCAGAAAGAGCTACTCAGTTGTTGACCATATTAAAGACAGTATAATCGTACCTAAAACGAGCCCTCTCAATACTTTGCGTTTTTGACCGTCGGATTTCTTATTCAGATCATCCTCGGTCGTTTGATGCGTCTGCCCTCGAGCGTGGGCTGCTCCTCGGCCGGATGTCCTGAGGGGCCGTTATTCCCGAAGCCGAATCGAAGCCTTCTCGTTAGTCCACGCAAATTAACGTATGATCCCGGACGGACGGCCACGATCGGCGTTAGGTATTTCCTCCGGTTCCATAAGTTTCAGTTTCACCTCCCCCCCTCCCAGCCGTGTATTACGCATGTCCCGCGGCGGCGCCACACATGGCGATCTCCATCTCCTCCACCTGTCGGAGCTGCTGTTGTTTGAAGAGACACAGCAGCGGCGCTGCTGCCCGAGGGCCCCGCGGCCGAGCCCACTTCGCTCTCCACCTTCCTCCCTGCGTCGCCGTCTCAACATGCGCCTAAGCCAGATTGCCGTGCAGACCATCGCAAGCCGCTGTCCTACCATCGCCTGCCTCGTCGTGCACACCCGGAAGAAGCCCTCGAATCCTCCGCGAGTATGCATGCACCACCACGCCGGCCCCAAGCCTGTTCAGCGCCGCCCGCGCACGGCCTGGATCCCGGCGCCTCCTGGGGCCGACGGGTACGAGGAGGAGGGCCACTACAAGGATGGCACTGAACCGTCCAACTCCGCTGCTGCGAGGGCGGCGGCTTGGTTCCCAGTAGTCGCGAACCTAGCGTCTACAAGTCGGACAATGGGCAGCGATGGGCACGATGCTTCCAGCAGACTCATTTTCTCAGCCAAACTCTATTCCCGATTAAGTTACCATATCCCTTGTTTCTTAAAACATTCCAGGCATTGATTTCCTTAACAGTTTACATGTCATGTGTTTGATACAATGGACAGGATGAACTATTGTGCTAAATGGTCTTTAATAATTTCCCTGTGTGAGGGGTACACCATTGGCTCACTATACTGATGCAATTAACCTCCATAGTTCATTCTTCAACTGATGTTCATTTGAAACTTACCATATATCAGGTAGAAAATGTGTTGGCTCAAGATCATTGGGAGTGTTTACCATCATGATTTCCTTCCTCATATGCCATGGACAATCAGGAACTACTTTTCTGTCGTTTCTGGTATTGCTGCTACAGGTGTATGTATAGGCTTTCTTCCATGGAGTGAGGAGTCATTTCGCTGAGGAGGAGGGCGGGATCGCCGGGCTGTGGTGATCTAGCCATTTAAATCTCTTGTACATGTTTCTCTCTTCTTCTATAAAGTTAAGGTACGCCTTTGGCGTACTCTCGAAAAAAGAGGAGTCATTTCGCTGAGCTGGAGTCCAGGAGTTCGTGGAACCGGGCAGTTGATGAATGGGGCCTTATAGTATGGAAAACATGTTGGTTGCTGTAATCGAATAATTACTCATGTGGAACGTCTTGTTTTCCTTTCACCACACAAGCTTCTTCTAAGTCACGACATGATACTAGATTAGAGATCGTTTTCCTTTTGTCAAGTATAGATACTAGATCACATTTTATTTGGGAGTTTTGTTTTGCATCATTTGTTTGAGTGAGCTTCATTTCTCACATGGTGTCGTAATTAATAAAACACAGTTTTTTATGTGCAGAGCATCTTATAAGACTACAACATTACAATTGGAAAATCTGCAACGACTAGCGAATTGCAATTTCCTTTTCTACGTACAAACATTCATATTGCTCAAATGGTGTTTGATCACTTCTTTGATAGTGCACAGAAAAATTCTTATTTAGTTAGTCACTTGTTGCTGAAAATTTTATCTAACACTTTGTGTAGACCAGGTTATTCCTGGGATCTTGAACTTATCGGTTCTTCTATTTCACTAGTTGCACTTCTAAGCATATAGGTCGACATTATGCAAATATGTAGCTGTTAATTTAACTCTGTTTTATGAGAAAACTTTGACTTTGTGTGCATTATTTAATGTGAAAGTAAATTTTGTTCATTAGAATTCATAAATATGTAAGGTCTGCTAGAACTTTCTTTTTATTAGTCCTCATCACTTGTCCATAGATGAAGCAAATGATAGATGAAGTGAGACATGCTGTTGTTGGATAAGATTTATTACTTTCTTAAATAAATAACATGGTGATATATGGGGCATGAAGAATAGACCCAATTACCGGATGGATCTTAAGGTATACAACGACACTAAAGAGAACAAGCCCGGTTCTGCATCCTCGCTGGCGATCGTGTAAGATATTCTATGCTCGAAGTACTACTCCAAAAATCATATATCCATAGTAACAAAATTATTGGTGTGAATTCATCATAAGTCTTTGCTTGCCTTGTCCAATAATTTTAAGTATTGAGAAACTATTTTTGTTTTATGCTCTAGGATGTACAAGCCCTGTATTTTTATTTGTGTGCTAAGTCCAATTTTTATTATTTATGCTACAGCCACTGTCGAAGCTAGGGTAATAGAGATGGTGTGCCGGCATAGGCAGGAGCGATAGCCTTTTTAATCTACGACCTTCTTTCTTTTTTCCTTTCCTTTTCTAAATTGAACTTTTTGGAATATATGAGGCATTGAATTAAGAGATGGAGGATTTGATTACGTTGCCAAAGGTGGTCTCAAGTTTAATTCACTAATTAGCCATCTTTTCTATTTAGAGTGAAGTTATACTAGGGTGCTTGGATCCAAGGGACTATTTTTAGTCTGACTAAAAATAGTCTTTTTTAGAGGCTAAAGTTCCAAGCACCTTTGACTAAAGAGAGACTAGGACTAGTCTTGAGGCTAAAATTTTTTAGTCATAAGAAACCTACTAAAATATGTATTAGCCCTCTCTCTCCTCATTTAATTACTCTCCTTTAACACATGCGAGTTCTGGATTGGAGGGTTTGGAGGATAATAAATGCTTAATAATTTGATTTTAGTCTCTTTAGTATTTGGATCCAAGCATGGGTGAGGCTGGCAAGTTTTAGTCCCACTACTTTTAGTCATGGGACTAAAACGTATCCAAGCACCCTCTAAGTCAATACTTGCTACAAGTATGTTTGACAATATGTTAATTAGTCTGGCATCTTGAGTACTGTTTCTGGTTAAATGTGTGTGAATTGGGTGAATTATAGGTGTCGTGTTGTGATTTGAACCACCACAGATTTATTTATTGGTTTAGACCTAGGTAGTGATCATGCCTCCAAATATTTGTAAAAATTCCTATCATTTGATTGAAAAAATTGATGGGCACAACAACGCACGCCATACTTCGACACATAACTGAACGCTTAACTTCCAGCGATGTAGTAATTAACAATACTTCTTAATAAGTCTCCGCACTAGACAAAGAAATAGAAGGCACTCATACTTAGGATTCTCTCGTCACATATCAATGCAAGTGCAAATTAAACTGGGGGCACACGAACCACAGCGTGCAGGTACAGGTTGTTCTTCCGTCGGACAGTGAGGCCCATCTTCTCTGTCGTGTCCAGCTCATCTGGTCTCACCCCTCCTGGGAGCTCCCAGTCGAAGTGGTAGAGAAGTGCGGCCAGTACAATCTCGATGCTAGCCTGCGCAAACATCATTCCAGGGCACATCCTTCGACCTGCCCCAAATGGTATGTACTCAAAGTTTGTTCCTTTGAAATCAACCATGCCAGATTCAAATCTCTCTGGTTTGAACTCCTCAGGGTCTTCCCAGTGCCTAGGGTCTCTTCCGATTGCCCATGCGTTCACTAACATCGTGGTGCCCTCGGGGACATCATACCCGAGGATTTTGCAAGGCTCAGTTGCCTCCCTAGGGAGAAGCAATGGTGCAGGTGGATGAAGCCTCATTGTCTCCTTGATGACGAGTCTGAGGTACTTGAGATTGATCAAGTCATCCTCGGTCACCTTCGGCTTTCCTTGCAGGTTCTTGCGTACTTCGGCTTGTGCCTTCCGCATCACATTTGGGGACCTCATGAACTCTGACATGGCCCATTAAAGAGTGATTGCTGATGTCTCGCTTCCGGCACCAAACAGATCCTGCAATTTGCCGATTTGATGAAATTTGGAATTGCTACGTATTCTAGGCAGTTTTGGATTGTCACCCATATGCAGTGAGATATCCAGTAGCAAATCCTTGAATAATAGCGAGTATAACATATAACAATTCTTCGATTCTGTGTGAACTCAAGAAAAAACAAAATGAATTAAGAGACACTTGTGTCTTGCTAGCTACTCTCTCGTTTCGAAATACTTGACCCTTTTTGTTTTGTTGTAACTACTCCATCATTTTTAAATACTTGAGCTTTTTTATTATATGTTGGTCAATTGTTTTGGTTTGACTCAAATTATGAAACAATTTTAACATTGACAACAACATATTGATAATAAATAGAATCAATCACGAAATGAACTATCAAAAAATGTATAATTAGTTTTGTTTAATACTGCATCAACTGCGAGGTGGCGTGGTGACTCATGATTAATCTCCAAATCATTCCAATTTAAAAAAATATGGCATATTTCTTACGGAACTCTGTGGCCAAAGTATAACTGCTAGAAGAGGGAAGGCAGAAGTTAAGAAATTGTTGCACTTATAAGTATAACTGCTTTGATCATTCCCATGGTAAGGGGCACGTCGAGGACACCTTCCTTGCGTATCCTCATGAGCGCGTCCACTAGGTCCTCTCCTTCCTCCACGACACCGCTCGCTGAGGCGGTGGTTGCCCTCTGCTCCTCGTGTTGCTTGATCGCGTACTCCATGAGCTCGAAGCTCTTCTGGTGGTACTCCTCGGCCCGCCGTGTCGTGCCGCTGATGAATCTCGCGAGCCACGATGATGGGAACATATCGCTAAGGCTGAACCCGCCGGCGATCTTGACACCATCCTCGAGTGTCTGCAAGAACTCCTCACGCCTCATGAATCTTTCCCCAATCATGGCGCATACCGCCGAATCGTTGATGAGGATGGCAATTCGCTCACTCACGTTCACGAGCTTCATGGGCGGCGCCGCCGTGATGGCGGCCACGAGTCGGCAGACCTCATCCTCCCGGATGTGGCGGAACGACTGCACGCGACGCACACTGAGAAGCTCCAAGATGCAAATCTTGCGAAGCTGCCGCCACAAGGCACCATAGGGAGCGAATACCAGCCCTTCAGAGTTCATAATCTTCAACGTGGGGCTCAACGGCCGCGTAGCGAAGACGACGTCATGCGTCCGCATGATCTCGCGGGCAGCCTCCGGGGATGTGGCCACCATCACCGGCACCTTGCCGAGCTTGAGGTACATGAGAGGCGCGTCGAGCCGGTGAGCGAGGTCGGCCATGACACAGTGCATGAGCGGGTTGCCGGCGAGGTGATGAAGACTGCCGATGAGCGGAAGCCGCCACGGACCGGGTGGCAGACGCACGCTGCTATTGCCACCGCTGTGTTTCGTGTTGAGCTTGAAGAGAAGGAGAGGAAGGAGGAGAGCCAAGAGAAGGCAGAGGTAGTACGCCCACTGCTCCATGGAGAGGTCTCGTGTGTTGAGCTAAGGCGCAGTGTGGTAGAGTGAAGGTGATGCTGCACTTTGAGTCTCTGGCTCAAGGGCCTGATCTTATATAGTACTTCCTCTGTTTCTAAACATATTTAAAAAAATTCTATATAGACTACATACAAAGTAAAATGAATGAATCTACACTCTAAAATACGTCTATATACATCCATATGTAGTTCATATACAAATCTCTAAAAAGATATTTTTAGAAACGGAGGGTATTAAGGCGCAATGCATTAACTGCTGGGTTAATTAGGGGGTGAGAAACGGGAAAGCAGCCTGCATGCAGCCAATGCATGCACGGTGACAGCTTGATTATTGACCGGGGGAGTAATGCGTCATAATTGCGTGAGTAATTGGGGCATGTTCAATGCAAGGCGGTTACTTAGACGCTTATAGACAAAAAAAAATACATAAAATTAAAGAATAATATAAGCATCCGCCCTACGCAACGCTGGCCGCTAATCAAGGCGCTAATAACTAGTGGTTGTTGCACTAAACGCTACCTTCCCATGAGGCTAGTCATAGTGGGAGTAACTTAGATAGTAACATAGTGCACTTCAAGAATTTTTTTCTTATGTGGCAAGTAGTCAATGAAAGATGGTAACATAATATATCACTGTAACATAGCGCTTCCCAAGATAAGATGAGTCTACAAGTTAATAAATGAAGCCATTTATGTTACTACTATTATGTTACTTTGCATTATGAAGATAGTAACTTATACTAGTGTCATATGCATGATACTAGTCTAAGTTACTTCCCACTATGACCAGCCTGAGAGAAAAAAAGGGCCAAGCGCCCGACACCAAATATTGCGCCGATGCCATGGGTGACTCTAGGATTTGAGGGTATAACCACTAATCGGCCAAGATTTCTATCCTAGCGCCGGTTCCTAGTGCCTCGCGTTGGAGATGCCCTTAGGCGTTGTGGTTTAACTACTTATGCTATTTTTCGGTCACGAGCAAAGGAATTTACAGCCAATCGCTAATCACCTAGATCCCAGAAATTGCTCATGCGCGCCGAGTAAACCGTGACAGAGCACCTAATCCCTGTCCTCACATGAATTAGGCATTTCTGGCCGTTTGATTTCATTTGTTAAACATTAATGACCGTCAGATCTAAAGTAAACGCTATGTTCGCCGCGAATTGAGCCTGAAATCGCAAGGGAAGCTACTCCCCGTAGCTATTTTGCAGCCCTGTCATTAATTGGGCCACGTCTCCTGCTCGGGCCAAGGCTAAGCCCGGTTCAGCCTTACACGACGGCATCTCCCTCCCTTCCTTCGCTGCTCAGGCTGCCCCCTCCTCTCCCCGCCGACGCCCATGACGACATCTCCTCCCTCTTCGCTTCCCTACATGCCGATGTCGCCGCCTATGCCTTCGCGTCCCTCGCCCGTCTCGTGGCTATCAGGACTGAAGCTGTCGCGATATTCTTCAGTTAACTGTAGCAGATCAAGAAGAAAACATTTCAGAAAAATGGACGGCTGAGATAGCTCCTCACTATTACCGTTTGTCGCTAGATGTACGATGAAGATTGTAATGTTACTGTTAGTTACTGCTCCATTTCACCTCCTTGCCGGGAGCTCATCGCCTATATAACAGCCGGGCTTTGGCTGGCAGTCATCATCGCTATTTTTTCCTACAAGAATTGCCAAGATGGCCAAGTAAACTCATATATAATACATATATCGTGGATCCGGGAGAAATTCCCCAATCCCCTTTCTTCAAATCCCTAAACCTATCATCCTGGACTAGCTAGATCCTGACAAATTGGTATCATGAGCAAGTGTTCCTTGGCGGAGGCGAGTTCCGATGGGCGATTTTTTCTCTCTCGAGGTATTCCCATCCTTTCCTTCTGATCGGCGACGGAGTCCTGAGAGGCGTCGGGGTTGAAGAGTGTCGGCGGTGTGTGGTGGCACTGGCGGCGATGATCGTTCGGGTACAAATCAGCCGAGCCGGAGCGGTTGGTCGAGCACCTCGCTAGATTGGTAAAATCCCGCGTCTGAGCACTGATCCGTGTACCTTGGAGGCGTGGATCAGGGCAGCGGCAGGATTTGAGGTCGAGCAAGGGTTGTTGGTCGATCCAGTAGTAAAATTCCTAAACTCCACTTCAGATCAAGGCGATGGGGCGCGCGAAGGCAATTGATGAGGCGGATCTGCAAGAAGTGCTGTCTCTTCGGGATGATTTCGGAGTTCTACAGAAAGATCAAGCTCAGATGCAGGCTGATATGGCAAAACTGCACGATGATGTCCATTCGATCAGCTCAAAACAGGGAGAAATTTCAGTGCAAATGGGGAATGTCGAGTAAGTGGTTCTGGACTTGGGCAAGCAGCTATCCACAATTAATGCTGTGTTGCAGACCTTGGTGAAAGCGCCAGTAAGAGAGAGACAACTGATCCAGCTTCAAGTTCGCAGCAAGCACCTAAATCACCAGCAGGGTCTCAGGAGCAAATGCAGAATCAATTGCTCAGAATAGACCAACTCAGGAAACAGCTGGAAGTAGGAAAAGAGAAAACAAGACAGTTAGAAGAACTACAGATGCAGAACTTACCTCCTAACAGAACAAGTAAACCCGCGGCTCCACCTGGATTTAATCAGCAAGGCAGAACAGAGCAGGCAAGTCCTTTAGGAACACGAATGACAACAAGACACAATTCTTACACTCCTGCATTTCAGCAACATTATCATCAAAATAGAGACAGGTAGTTATGGCAGGGGTATGCTAGAACTTATGAACAGGACATGCAATGTCAGTTCATGAAATCTCTCACTAAAGGACCCCAAATGGATTTTCCTATATTTCAAGGTGAGGACCCAGTTGGGTGGATCAGACAGTGCAATAAATACTTTCAAATGTGAGGTGCTCCTGAAGAACATAAAGTCTCTCTTGCTCGCCTATACATTATTGGGGAAGCTGATGTGTGGTTGAGAAGATCAGGATTACTGAAGAAGAAAGTATCATGGAAGGAATTTTGCACTGAAATCACCAAGAGATTTTCTGAAAAATTCAACTCCATTAGACAGTTAAACAGCTCTGTGTCTGAATATACAAAGACATTTGAAGATCTTATGGCTGATGTCCAAGAGGAAAATCCTGAACTAGCAAAATATTGGTTTGTAAGATGCTATGTAAATGGTTTGAGGGAGGGCATAAAGTTCCAGATCAGACCATTAAGACCGCAAACACACACTGATGCTTATTGGTTAGCTAAAGATGTAGAGCCATGTCACCCTCCAGTGACCACAGTGCCTAAAAGAATTTTTGTCCCTTACAACAACTACTATCAGAAAACCTCTGGGAGTTTCCCTCCAAAGCAGAGTACCACTCCCTCTTCTCAACAGCAAATTCCCATCAGGCATACTGAAGTTCCTGTTAACAATACACAGAAAATCAGGAAAGTGGGAGAGTGTTGGAGATGTGGAGATAAGTGGGTGCATGGTCATAAATGCAAATTAGTTCCAACTATACATGCTAGGAAACAAGAACTAGAGGAGCAAACAACTTATGAGGTAGAAGAGCAACAGCTTGAGGAACAAATAGAACCAGTATCTGAAGGAGATCAGGCCATGTTCATCTCCACTTTTGCAATGGGACAACAACTTGCAGTGCCTACTCCAACAGTGATAATACATATCAATGGAAAAAGAGCAGTGGCGTTATTAGACTCTAGTAGCACTACATCTTTCCTCAATCAGGAGTTTGCAGTCAAAGCTAACTACAACATGCTGCATGTTAAACCTAGAAGCATTGCAGTAGCTAGGGGTGGAGTATTACCATCTACTGCAGTGATTCCCAATTGTGAATTTCAGATTGCCAAACTGACAGTATCTCACAATTCCAGAGTAATCTCTCTACCAAGTCATGATGTTATCTTGGGATATGACTGGTTTACTGTTGTTAGTCATGTTTCCTTTGATATCCCTGCATAGCAATTTGGGTTTACACATGGGGGCAAACAGACTGTGTCAACAACAATGTTCTCTACTGCCGCTAACTTGAAAGAAGTTCCACCCAAGAGAGTGGACAAGCTGATGGAGAAAGGAGCTGAAGTATTTCTCTGTCAAATTCTTAGCATACTCATGGATGCTCCTGAGGATTTTAAAACTCCACCAGAAATACAGAAATTACTCTTGAAATATGTAGATTTGTTTGAAGAACCTAAAACACTACTACCTCAGAGGGCATTGGACCATAAAATCCCTTCAGTGGCAGGAGCTACACCACCCCAGGCCAGACCTTATATAGTCCCTCAACACCAAAAGAAGGAAATGGAAGAGCAAATTAAAAATTTGTTAGCTGCACATTTGATAAGGCACAGTTAAAGCCCTTTTGCAGCACCAGTTCTGTTAGTTAAGAAAAAGGATGGATCTATGAGGTTATGTACTAATTATAGAAAGCTCAATGCTCTCACAATTAAGAACAAGTTCCCTATACCAGTTATAGAAGATTTGTTGGATGAGCTCCATGGAGCAAAATACTTCACCAAATTGGACTGCAGGTCTGGATACCATCAGATCAGAATGTCATCTGAAGATATATAAAAGACTGCCTTTAGAACATTCTTGGGGCACTTTGAATATTTAGTCATGCCCTTTGGTCTTTCAAATGCACTTGGTACATTTCAGGAACTGATGAACACCATTTTTGGGCCTTATTTGAGGAAATTTGTGTTGGTTTTCTTTGATGACATATTAATATTCAACAAATCTCTCAAAGAACATCTAGAACATATCAAACTGGTAATGGAGTTACTAAAGAAACATCAGCTCTATGCAAAGATGTCTAAATGTGTATTTGCAGTACAACAAGTGGAGTACTTGGGCCATGTTATCTTTGAAAAGGGGGTAGCTACAAACCCACAGAAAATATCAGCCACTTCAGATTGGCCAATTCCTGAAAATATTACTAAACTAAGAACTTTTCTTGGTCTGGTTGGGTATTACAGAAGGTTTATGATACGTCCATTTTGCA